ACGAAAGGGGGGAGGAGCGCCCCCCACCAAGCGTCTCCCAAGGGACCCCGCAGCTTCCTAAGAAGCGCGCCCCCTACCCGTGGCCTTGCGGTTGGCCAAACCTCCCCGCCGTTCCGCGGGAAAGGGGTACCGCCCGCATTTTGCCCAGCTCGCCATCTCGCCAAAGTGTCCGAGGCGCGTGTTCCGGTTTCGCTTGACCGACACCATTGGCGTCTTGGGCCCGAGCCACGGCGCCGGGTCGAGACCCCTCTCCCTCCCAGAGGCAGGGAGGGAGGGCAACGAAGTCTGCCTCGTCGAACTTGTCGTGCTTGACGTCGCCGGCGCCGTACTTGGTCGCCTGTCGGCAGAGCAGCTGCGGCGTGCCCGTGTCGTTGCGGTAGAGGGAGATGTCGAGGCACGAGGGCGCATGGCAGTGGCCGCCCGCGTAGATGAGGCTCTTGTTGTCGATGCTCCAGTGGTACGTGATCGTGTGCACGCACTCGCAGTCGGCGCCGAACCGGCTCGGCTGCTCCGGCGTGGGGCAGCTGCCGGTGCAGCTCGTGCCGGGCGTCGGGACGCCGAGAGGCCAGCTCGGGTAGCCCGGCAGCGGCACGGACGGCGTGGCGAAGGCGGGAGGCACGTCGTACTCCCCCGCGCTCGCCTCGGTCATGTAGTAGATGCGCTCGAGGTTGAGGTGGGACGCGCCGCCGCCAGACGGCGCAGCGGGGGCCTGGACCGCGGCGTGCGCGCGCGGCGCGGGCAGGTACTCTTCGAACCAGAAGCGGTACTTGTGGTGGTAACGGAGGAGCTCCGGCCGGACTGGCTGGTCCGCGTCGAGCATGATGCGGCCGTGGCCACAGCAGCGCAGCCCCCCCGCGTACGACATCGAGCTGCAGGTCGGGTTGCGCTGCTCGAGCAAATCGCCGAAAGGGTAGTGCGCCCCGGCCGCGTCGTGCCGCGGCGGGGCGCACTCCTTGACAAAGTGCGCGCAGCCCGTGCCTCCGTCGTGGCAGAGGTCGCCCCGGCCGCCTTGGTCGCAGACGCAGGTCGGCGCCCCGGCCGCGTCGGTCAGGGTGAGCGTGGCGTGGTGGTGCGCCTTGCGGTGTCCGAAGGGTTAGGGTTAGGGTTAGGGTTAGGGTTACGGTCAGGGTGAGCGTGGCGTGGTGATGCGCCTTGTGGTGCCCAAAGGCGTGAGGAGATATGCGGAGATGTGCGGAGATATGCGGAGATATGCGGAGATATGGGGAGAGTGGTGGTGCGCCTTGTGGTGCCCAAAGGCGTGAGGAGATATGCGGAGATATGCGGAGATATGCGGAGATATGGGGAGAGTGGTGGTGCGCCTTGTGGTGTCCAAAGGCGTGCGAGTAGCCGACCGCCGTGATCAGGTTGAGCGTCGTGTTTGCGGCGAGCGAGAAGGAGTAGTGGTCGTCCGTCCGCCCCTTGAGAGGCCGCGACATCTCCACCGTACGCACGCCGCCAGAGACCGAGTCGGAGAGGACGGTGACGGAGGCGGCGAGGCGCGTGCCCGCGCAGTGCTGCGCCTCCTCGCCGCACGTGCCTAAAGGACGCGTCCGAGGCGTGTCGCGGACGTGTCTCCGCACGAGCAGAGCCCCCACCCGCCGCGCGCGCCCAGCTTCTGCTCAAAGACCTCCTCCCCCGCCACCACGATCGTGTATGGCTGGTCGGCCATCACCAGCGCGTGGAGCCCCGCGCCGAACCAGCCGCCCGCCGGGCCGGAGAGAGTGAGCGTGGCGGCGTCCGAGGCGGCGTCGAGGGCGATGCCGAGCGTGACCCCGACGAGGGAGGTCACCTGCCCCACCCGCCTCGCGCCCGCCTCGCACGAGACCGCCGAGTGCGCCGTGTTGAAGGTGGCGGACGAGGCGCCGCGCGCGTCTCGCGAGACCGAGCAGCCGCGAGGCAGCGACGAGGAGTGCACCTGGGGGGGGGGGGGGGGGGAAGCGTGTCGTGGACGCGTCACCGACGAGGCGCGTGCTCGAGCAGCCGAGAGGGTGCGAGGAGGCGGTCTGCGCCGTCTCGTTGCGGATGGAGGTCGCGTTGACGCCGAGCTGGGCGACGGCGCCGAAGCACGCCTCCGCAGAGAGGACGTGCGCCTATGCGAGAGGGAGCGCGAACATCTCGCGGACACGCGGTCTTGGACTCGCCCTGCCGGGCCCGAGGCGCTGCAGCTCGCCGCCGCGCCGCACGCCCCGACGGCGACGCCCTTGAAGTCGTGTGTGAGCACGCGCGTGCGGCTGCCGCCCTTTCCTCCGTCTGGGTAAAAGGCGGGGTCGCCTCCGTACCGGCCGTTGCAGGGGCACTCGAGCAGCCCAGAGTAGTTTGTGGCGCCCGGCACCCCCCCCTTTGGGCCGCCCGGCACGAGGCCGGCCACAGCCAGGCCGTACCTCGCCTGGCGGTGCCAATGGGACGAGTCACCGACCGTGTGAAGAGAGGCCGGCCACAGCAAGGCCGTGCCTCGCCTGGCGGTGCCAATGGGACGAGTCACCGACCGTGTGAAGAGAGGCCGGCCACAGCAAGGCCGTGCCTCGCCTGGCGCGGCTCTGGGCCGGGCGTGAAGCCGTGCGGGCCGGAGCAGCGGGCCACGTCGTCCGGGGTGGCGCCGCAGTCGCGGTTCCGGATGTCGATCTGCATCGGCGTCGTGTGCCACGCCCTCGGCGAGTGGACCAGCTGCGCGAACCCGGCCGGGTAGCCGTGGAAGCTCTTGCGCGACTCGCCGCCGTTGCCCTCGGAGAACCACTGCGAGGAGGGGGCGCCGTCGGGAGAGGCGGCGGCGCCGGCACGGTGCCGCGCGACCATGCGCGTCGCCGCCCCGTGCGACGACACGTCGTTCGGGTCGACTGAGACGCGCTCCATCTCTGCGGCGGCGCCGAGGAGCCACGTCTCGTAGTGATGGTTGTCTGGCGGGCGGGCGGGCGGGCGGGGGGGGGGGGGGGGGCTCAGGGGAACCAAGAACGGGCGGAAACGGGGGTGGGCCCCGTACATGCCCAGTTGATGGGGACGGACACGTCCTTCTCCGGGTGGACGCCCGGCTTCCCCGTTGGCTGTACCATCACCTGGTCCATCTCGTACCCGACGATGGCCATCGTCTTATTGGCGAAGCGGCGGACAATCTCGGGCGGGATGGGGTGCGTGCCCATGTCCGTCCAGAATACCTCCGCGTAGTGCGTCGCAATCTCAGGCGACCAGACATCAAAGTACTCCAGGCCGCGCGAAGCGTAATCGTCGTTGAATGGCACGTCATGCCGGCCGCCGCTGCTGACCGAGTAGCGGCCGTTCATGTTGGCCGCGAGGGCGAAGATCGCTGCGAATGGCGGCATGCTCCCGCGTATGGAAGACCCGACGCACCCCGTCCGCTTCAGCGGCCGGAGGGGGCGGGCCGAATAAGAAAAACTTAGCAGCGGACCAACCTGACGGCAGTGCCCGCACTCTCACCCCCCCCCCCCCCCACACACGCAGGGGAGCTCGCGCCTCTATCGTACCTCTCAGTGGATGGGCGCAGCAAGCAGCGACGCCAGCATCCCACGAGCACACCCCTCCCTGCACCAAACCTGAGATCTCTCTCTCTCTCTCCAAACCTGCTGTGCGAGGCAGCGCCCGCACTCTCATCTCGCAAGCGGATGCCCTCCAGCACGAGCGAGGCGTGGAAGAGCAGCGTCGAGACGGCCGCGACGCGAGCGGCGATGTCGGCGGGGCTGTCGCAGCGAGAGAGAGCGCGCACGAGAAGCTCAAGGGCGGTACCTCTGGCTCTGCCTGTTCCTTCTGCAGCCGCCTCCAGCCGCGCAGGTAGGTAGGTTCTCCAGCCGCGCAGGAACAAGGAAGGTCGGCGTAGCGAGTGTCCAGTGTGCGGCGGCGGCGGCGGCGGCGGCGAGGCGGCGCGAGCGGCGTTGTGGGGGCGGGCATCGGCCATTCGCGAGAAAAAGAAATTTACCGCAGCCCTCGCACAACACTTGAGAATTGAGTGGGCACGGGACTGTGGCGCCACTGGCACTAACAGAGGAACAGAATTCCCGCGGGAGGGGGGCACCATGGAGGGATGCCGCGGGAAAAATCTTTCCCCTTTCTGTAGGCTTCGCGAAGAAGGAATGGATCTCATCCCGCGAGCGAGGCAGGCTGCAGGAAACTGTTGTGGAGGCTTACGGAGGAGCTGGCGCTTCTCTCTAAACCTCACGGCCGGCCTGCACCCACGCCTCGATCCTCTTCTCGGCAGCAGCTGGTTCTGCTGGTCGCCGCTGCCTAGGCAGCCGAATGCGCCCTTGCCCCAGGTAAAGACAGCGCCATTGGCGGTGAGGGCGAGGCAATAGTAGGCTCCCGCCAGCACGGCAACGACGCGCTGGCCAGCAAAGGCCTCGATCTTCTTGGGCAGCAGCTGGTTCTGCTCGTCGCCGTGGCCCAACCGGCCGTGCCCTCCATAGCCCCAGCTCCAGACGGCGCCGTCGGCGGTGAGGGCGAGGCTGTGGAGGGACCCAACCGACACAGCGACGACGCGCTGGCCAGCTAGGGCCTCGACCTTCTTCGGAAGCAGTTGAACCTGCTGGTCGCCGTGGCCCAGCTTGCCAAGGCCTCCACCGCCCCAGCTCCACACGGCCCCGTCGGCGGTGAGGGCGAGGCTGTGCGCAGCTCCCGCCGACACAGCGACGACGCGCTGGTCAGCGAAGGCCTCGACCTTCTTGGGCAGCAGCTGGTCCTGCTGGTCGCCGTGGCCCAACCGGCCTACGCCCCCCCGCGGCCCCAGCCCCAGACGGCGCCGTCGGCGGTGAGGGCGAGGTCGTGCGCGAATCCCGCCGAGACAGCGACGACGCGCTTCCCCGCCAAGGCCTCGATCTTCTTGGGCAGCAGCTGGTCCTGCTCGTCGCCGTGGCCCAACGTTCCTGCGCCCCAGCTCCAAAGACTGCCGGCGGTGATGGCGAGGCTGTGGTACGATCCAGCCGACACAGCGACGATGCGCTGCCCAGTTAACGCTTCGACCTTCTTTGGCTGCAGCTGCCCCTGCTCCTGCCGCTCACCGTGACCTAGCTGGCCAAAGCCTCTCTGACCCCAGCTCCAGACAGCACCGTCGGCGGTGATGGTCAAACTGTGGAAAGGCCCAGCCGACACGCTCACGGCGCACTCGCCACCCAGCATCGACGGGAGGCGGGTCGGCGTGTTGAGCCGCGCCACGCCCTCGCCGTGACCGAGGAGCGATGGGTTGAAGGGCTGGAGCAGCCCTGGAGCGTAGGACGGCGCTGACCCGCACGACGACAGCCGCCCCTCGCCGTCGATGAAGAGGCTGTGCTGATCGCCTGCCGCCGCATTCACCGGCGGGTTGGACTCGCACAGCAGCGCAGCAAAGCACAGCCACCGCACGGCGCAGCCCTCGCCCTCTGGCTGCGCCGGCAGCTCAAAGCCGCGCTCTTGCGCCCACAAGCGGATGCCCTCCTCCGCGAGTGAGGCGTGAAAGAGCAGCGAGACGGCCGCAACGCGAGCGATGTCGGCGGGGTCGCAGCGAGAGACGACGCGCGCGAGAAGCTCAAGGGGCACCAGGTCGGTGAGGGGGCAGTGCGCGGCGGCGGCGGCGGCGCGAGCCGTTTGGGGGGTTTATCGCAAGAAAAAGAGTTCACTGAGGGGGGGAAAGAGCCCGAGATCGACAACTAACGTGCTCTCAGCGGACCAAACATGATCTGCGAGGCAGCGCTCGCACTCTCATGACTCATCTCTCTCTCCCCCCCCACACGCACGCGAGCTCGCGCCTCTATCGTACCTCTCAGTGGGGTGGGGGCCGCAGCAAGCAGCGACGCCACGAGCACACCCCTGCACCTCCCGCTGACGTTTTGTCTCCTCGCCAGAGGCGCGGTCGAGTCGCGCGCCCTCGTCGATGTGGCGGATAGCGGTACTGTACAGTATAGGAGTCTCGCCACTCTCGGCTCTCGCCTCTCGGCGGTTGCTAGGCCTAGGGCGGTTGGCGCAGGGGCGGCTGACGCGTGACGGCGGCGGCGGTACGTCTCTTCACTCTCGGCCTGCTTCTCATCAACGTGCTCGGAGCTCGCGCAGGCAAGCAATTACTCGGTCCGCTGGAGCCGACGCTATATGCCGCGGGCATGGGGTTCGGAGCACTAACGGCATGCCAGGTATGGCGAGCGTGCTTATGCCGTGCGTCTGGCCGCGGAGAAAAGGAATCAAGCGTTCATGGATGGAACGAGTACGCAGAGGGCTGAAGGCATCATTCTGCGCTCAGGTGGCGGCAGCCAACTCGCACACGGACATGCAGCAGCCTGTCGAGCTCGCAAGCACGCAAGCCAAGAGACTAGGCGGCAAAGAGTTCCGAGCCCAGCTTAGCTAGGGGAGAAAGACGTGTGCGAGCACGTTTGCAGTGTGCAGCTATCAAGGCACAATGTCGCGCCACCATCTTCGCGCACTAGACCGCAGAGACGTCGGCCGAACGCCCATCTCAGAGGAGATTGAGCCAGCGCGAGGGCAGGAGGTCGTCGTGCAAGTACAGCTTATCGCGCCGAGTCGCATCGTCAGCCGCAGCTGCTTTGGCCCTGGTCGGCTCCTTGACGACTCGGCCCTTTGTCCAGCGCTCTGGCAGCAGCTCACTTGGTTCATCGCCGCCTGCCATCATCGCCCCAGCTGGCGCGCGGGTCGCTCGGACGGGAAGCTTGCGCATGGCGGTGCGTGCGTCGATTGAGTCAGCGGACAGGCAGAGGAGAATTAGCAGGGAGAAGACGAGACGGAGCATTGTGGACGAGCTCTGCTGTGGAGCGCTCTGCTGTGGAGCGGAGTGGACGAGCGAGGACTGATGAGTCTCGTCACGCGCGCTCGTTTTCTTTTTCTAGTGCGCGCCAGTCCCGTGCCCAGTGTTGTGCGAGGGAGTTTTGTTGTAAAATTCGTTTTCTTCTCCTCAAATCCAGGGAAAATCTCTTCTCCTCGCCAGAGGCGCGGTCGAGTCGCGCACCCTCGTCGATGTGGCGGATATGGGTGGGAGTCACCAGGGAGTCACGGCCACTCTCTCTCGCCTCTCGGCGGTTGGCGCAGGGGCGGCTGACGGCGGCGGCGGCGGCGGTGGTACGTTTTCGGCCTGCTTCTCATCATCGTGCTCGGAACTCCACGCAGTCAAGCAATTACTCGGTCCGCTGGAGCCGGGGTTCGCGGAGCACTAACTAATGGTCACACAGACAGGGTTGCCAGGTGAGAGCGAATGGCGCGGTTCACGCCTCGCACAACAGAGAGAGAGATGCGCTCTGCATGGTGGGACATAAAAGAGAGCGAGTACTTGGGCGAGTAGGCCGTGCGGTCGACGCTGCCGCTTGACTTCATTCACCTCATCGCATCCTCCCGGGCCAGCGTGGGGTTCCGCGAGGTCGACCTTGTACCCCTCGTTGTACTGCCGGGTGGCGGGTGAGCTCTGGTTTCTCCTTGTCACCGTGCACGACCGGCGCGTTGGCTGGGGCGCGCATCGCGTCCGCCCAGGCGGCGAGGACGCCGTCGTGGGGCCGCCGGTGGTTGTTTTGCACAGTTCGCGAACCACACAGTTCGCGAACCATCCGTGAACCGAGACCCAGAAACTCGAACCAGCGCGCGGCGAAAGCCGGAACGAATGTGCAAGCACGAGAAGGACTATGAGCCCGGCAAGTAGGTTGGTGGGGGCGGTTCACGATCCAGTTCTCGCGAACCCAGTTCGCGAACCGCCGCGCGAACTTGGTGGGGGCGGTTCACGAACCAGTTCGCGAACCCAGTTCGCGAACCGGCGGTTCACCGCCGGTTCGCCAGACTCGGTTCGTTCACGGTTCACGGTTCGCGGCGGGTGTCGCGGGAGGAGTCGGTTCACGGATCACGGTTCACGGACTTGGGGTGGGGGCTAGTCGGTTCACGGTTCGGGGTTCACGGACTCGGGGCGGGGGCTAGTTGGTTCACGGTTCACGGTTCACGATTCCGGCGTGAACTGAGACGGCTGGATAGGGGATTCTGATATCGCATCTACATCGCTCTTCATTTTCAGCTCACCGCGATTTCTTCTTTCGGCCTCGAAGTTGTGACGATCGAGTCTATCGCCACTGCCCTCCCGAGTTCCTCATTGTAACGTCTCATCTGGCCGCGACGCACATGCTCGTTCTCTTCTACGATCGCGCGGCTCGTCTGCTGCAGCCCATTCGCGACGCGGCCCAGTCCGACTGGCAGCTGGAGGAGTGGCGCCTCGGTGATTCAGCAGCGCGGCTGGAAGAGCTGCTCGCATTGGCGGTTGTCATTGTGGCCGGGCCTGGGTTTCCAGCCTCGGCGCTCGGAAAGACGCGCAACCTAAGGCTTCTCCAGTGTGCCAGCGCCGGATACGAGTGGATCGACTTTGACGCGGTGCCACCCACAGCTCACGTCTGCAACACCTCCTCAATGGATGCTTCGATCGCAGAATACGTGCTCTGCGCAATCCTAGAGTGGCAGGTGGGCTGCATGCGGGCCGACCGCGCCCTGCGGGCAGCGCGCTGCATTGTCCCCCCCTTTGGCGCGCCAGGCCAGCGCGGGCTCGCTCCCTTTCATGGCGAGGCAGGCGGCAAGACGCTTGGCATTGTGGGCCTCGGCGCCATCGGCGAGCAGGTGGCGCGCCGTGCGGCGGCGCTTGACATGCGCGTGCTCGCCACGACAGGGAGGCCTCGCCGGGCGACGCAGCCGCTGCCGCAAGGTGTTGCATGGCGCGGCGCGGGCGACGGGGCCGACCTAGAGCGGCTCCTGCGCGAGAGCGACTTTGTCGTGCTCTGTTGCGCTCTCACGCCCGCGACACGCGGCCTCATCGACGAGCGCCGGTGTGCGCACCACCCTCGCTGCTACGCGACCCACTGACCCCACTGGGTTGCTCCTCAGACTCGCGTTGCTCAAGCCGACCGCCGTGCTCATCAACGTCGGACGCGGCGCTCCGCCGACTAAACCCCACGCAGGCGCCTCGCCCTCTGCCTCCAACCCGCCTCTCTCGCATCTCGCGTGTAGGCGGCCTATGCGAGGAGCGGCCGCTGTACGAAGCCGTGCGAGATCGGCGCATCGGGGGGGCGGTGCTCGACGTGTGGTGGCAATATCCCAGCGTGGAGAGCGGCGAGACGTGGCCGTCTCAGTTTCCATTCCACGAGCTGACCAATGTGGTCATGACGCCGCACTGTTCCGGATGGACGGCGGAGCAAGAGGTGCGCAAGAGGGAGCAGGTCGTGAGCAACATCGCCGCAGTCGCTTCCGGCGAGCTGCCCTTGCACTGCCTGCGGCAGGCTATTAGATAGGTGTCAGTGTCGGCTGCCGCGCGCATATGCACGAATCATGAGAGTTGAGACCCGCCCGCCCGTCGGACCGCCTCCCATTCGCTTACGTGTGGATATTTTGTGATTGATATTTTGTGACTGATCCGCGCTGACGGCTCGGTATAAACAACACTAATGGACAAAAGTAGTGAACAAGAATGTGCGCAGAGCCAGACGTGTGTGCGGTGGCGGGGGGAAAGAGAGACGTGGTCCGCAAGGACTCACCACACGAGGCATCATACCAGAACCCAAAATTGACCGTGGCGAGTCGGATCGCGTGTCGAGGTCGTGGCTTCGTCTGGCGAGGCTGGTCCCTCGCGCTCGATTGCGCACTCCTCGCCATGGCTGTGTCTGCTGATCCACGGGTGCTGGAGCACCGTGGCGACAGAGGGCCGTTCGCGAGGGTTGAGGGCGAGGAGCGAATCGATCAGGCTGATTGCGCCGACGGAGAGATTGCACCACCGAGGTGGGAACCAGCCGAAGATGGCTCTCGTCGCCGATCGGCCCTCCTCTTGGGCGCGCCGCAGCACCCTCACCTGACTCGCGAATCGCCGCTGGTCTGCTGCAAAGGGCATGAAGCCGCCGAGCATCGCCACAAGGCAGACCCCCAGAGACCAGACATCCGCGGCGAACTCCCACATCCACAAGGCGACAAGGAAAGAAAAGAAAAACTCATTCTCTTGCGCGCTCGTTCCTCTTGCTCTGCCAGTCCAGTTGATCGAGACGGCGCGGGATGGCGCTGAGCGAAGCCGTGATCGCCGAGGCGCGCGCCAACCCGTGGCCGTTTGCAAAGGGCCACGGCCACCTCCACGTGCAGTGGAAAAACGGCCTCGACGGCAACAAGCAGTGCCTCGACGCTGCCATCTTGCGAGGCGAGTTCTCCGCTGCACAGGCGCTCCACCGCCTGACGGTTGGCATGCTCAACCTGGACGGGTCTCGCAACGGCCCACAGCGGCCGACGCTCTCCAGCAAGTGGGCGTCGGGAGGACGAGCGGCTGCTGCGGTCAGCGCCCACGTGGAGGCGCTCCGGCTGCACCTGGCGCAGCGAGTGGCTGCCGACATCGCACGCGCAGGCACCGCCGGCACCGCCGCAGGCACCGCCGGCACCGCCGCAGGCACCGCCGGCACCGCCGCAGCGACTTCCGACGGCGCCGAGGCGATCGACCTCACCGCCAGCGACGACGAGCCGCCGCCGCCGCCTCCGCCTGCCGCCCTGCAGCGTGACGGCGACGCCGCCTCGCTTGCGCTGGCGCGGCGGCTGCAGGCGGACGAGAGTCGGGCCGAGGTTCCTGGACGAGGCGCCGAGGCTGACCCGAGGTTGGATGCCCTCAGGCGGAGTCTGACGCGGAGCTCGCCGCCTCGGTGGCCGGGCGGGAGGGGGCGGCGTCATCTCGCGGTTTGCGGCCGAGAGCTGTCCGTACGCGTGCATGACACGTCCGTCGCATGTCCGGTAGTCGCCCTCCGACAGCGGCAAGCGGCCGTGCCGCCGCGTGCGCGGGTGACAGAAGGACTACGACGCGGACGGCAACCACACGCTGCAGCACGCGGGCTGGGGCACGAGCTCGAACCGGCAGGCGGATGAGAGGGGGCGGTGGGGGAGAGAGGGCGGAGGGAGCGAGGCTCCTCCTCCTCACCGCTCGAGCCGTGACCAGGCGGCGGTGTGCTGCGTGGAGAGGGCGAAGACAGACCGCTCCTGCTGCCGCGTGTGTGGGGAGCCGATCGAGGCGGGAGAGCTGCGGATCGGGCGACAGACCGCGCCGCTGCGGGCCGCTCTGCCAGCAGGACACTCCGTGGCACCTCTGCGCCCGCGTCGCGTGTAGGCGACCGGAGAAGAAGCGCGGGAAGCCGATTGTGGGCTGGTGCCTCGCTAGCCGCGTGGCGGCGAGGCGGGAAGAAGAAGACTCACGTCTGGGCGCGCGAGCAGGTACCACGTCCGCTGCTCGAGGCCGCTGCCAGGCGAAGACGAGTGGGCGGGCGTGGAGGGGTGGCTCGCTTAGCCGAGATGCGGCCGAGATGCGGTCGAGATGCGGCCGAGGTGCGGCCGAGGAGCGGCCGAGGTGCGGCCGAGATGCAGCTCAGAAGCGTCCCCGACGCTTGCGTGGCGCGGCCTTGGCAGGTGGCTCTCCCTCTCCCCGCCAGAGCAGCGCCGGCTGCTCGACGCGCAGTGAGGCGGCTGCGCGCCGCCCTCCCCTCCCGAGCCGGCGAGATGAGGCGCACCCCGCAAAATTGCACTGGCACGCAGTGCAGGCGGCGGTGGGCGGAGAGACGCACGGCTTGGGCGGTGGGGAGGGGAGCGCAGGAGCGGCGCCCGGCCGTGCTGTGGCTTTTGCGCTCTTGGGGCAGGGGGGGATGCGGTCTCGGTTTTGCCATTCGGTTGTGCGTACGCGGGCAGCGGTTTACGTTTGCTGGGGCTCTGTACTTGTGTGGGGCGCGCATGCACACACCTATTCACTACGTTGCACTACCACCTTCGTACACACATGAACACATGTTGTACAAGCGATCGTGCTCCAGCCTCAGCCCTCACCCGCCTCTTCCTCTTGAGACCGCTCTGCGCGGGAACCGGGAAGGCGGGCATAGCGCTTAGCGGGTGGGGGTAGGCCCTAAAACCCGGCGGGAGGGGTAGGGCTATATCCGCGATAGAGCTAGAGGGCTCAACCCAACCACCCCTCCACCCCTCCACCCTCCAGCCTCCACACCCCTCCACCCTCCCGGAGCGAGAGGGGTCCGTCCTCGAGCCCTCCCACTTCCACCCCTCCGACCGGAGGGCTCGCCAGCCCACAGGGCTGGAGGGGTCCCCGTCGGATCGGCGTCGGGAGAACTCCACAGGGTCCCATAGGGCTAGCGCGCTGGGAGGGTGGAGCGGTCCACCGGGATTCCGGGAGGGAGAGGGATCAGGAGGGCTGGGCGAGGCGGGAGGGGTGGCGGGGTCCAGGAGGGCTCGCCGCCCCCCCGAGCTCGGGTGATAGGCAAGAGGGCTCGGGCGCCGGGTGGGCTCGGAGGGACGGTCGTACAAAGGGAGGATCTTCGTGGCGGGAGGGCTCGAGAGGGGTCGGAAGGGCCTCCGGGAGGGGTCGCAAAAAAAGAATGGCGCGGATCTTCCGAGAGTGCCCGCCACGAGGCCGAGAGGGGTGTGGAGGGCTGGAGGGCTGCAGGCCTGCTGAATCCGCCCATGGACGCGGGTCAACCGGCGACGGCGCCCGTGATCGAGGGACCGGCGACGGCGAATGAGCTGGACTCTGAGCTTCGGGACGGCGAGTCGCAGCCATCCGAGCCGAGCCCGCTGCCGAGCGCAGCGGAGGTTCCAGAGAAGCCGGGCCTCACGCAAGCAGTGGAGCAGGGCTGCTACGACGCGGTCCGTGAGTTCGCCAAGGATTTTATGATCAGCTTGACGGAACAGCTTTCAACGGAGGCTGTCGCCAAGGAGACGGAGGCGACTTGGCAGCAGCTGGCTGATGACGGCGACGAGCTCGCCATGCAGCTCGCGCACATCGCAAGCGCTATCAAAGGCGTGCCCATATCGGCGGTTGCAACCGTTCTGGAGGCGTCGGCTGAGGCGCTTTTGCGCTCCGTCAACATGGTTGTTTCCACCTCCGCCAATGGCGAGAAGCGCACCCCTTTCTCTGCCTACTCGTCGTGCTATCGGTCTATGGTTGCAGGGTGCGTCACACTCCACTCTCATTCCCTCACACCTACACACATTGCAGTCACTCGTAAGCATATGACACAGGACCGGATCGGCCAAGTCTCTGCTCTTCAAGGCGATTGCCCCGCAAGCCCTTGTCCCGACCGTCGTAGCCGAGATTCTGCGGCCTGAGCACGGGCAAAAGGAGGCGCCCGCCGCGCTCCGGGAGGCGGTCGCCTATCACCCGCGCGAGACAAACGGCGACCTCAAGGGCTTGATGACGGCCGGCACCGCCTCCTGTGCGCTTCTCATTGAGCACCACCCTTCCTCCCTCTTCGCCACCCACCCGTTGCTGCGTGCCTGCGGCTCATGAACAAGCTCGTCGCTTTCCCAGAGCTGTGGCGCCTCCTTATGTCCGTCCCTGAGGGCCAGGAGTGGGTTGCCAACATCGAAGGGTCGAAGTCGTCGGGCGAGCTCTCCGCCTGGACCAAGTTTTGGGACGCCGGCGAGGAGGTCGCCAAGGGCACCGGTGTCACCGACATCAAGCGCATGCACTTTATGATGTCGCTGCTGCTCATGACGCAGCACGAGTCGGTCTTGCGCATGGCTAAGATGGAGGACAAGAACAAGAACGGGCTCTTCGGCCGTTTCCTCATCACCTTCTACGAGAAGGACGCCTTCGACTTCTCCTCCATTCTCGGTGCCCCGGCTACAAGGACCTGCTGTCGGACGAGGGCAAGCAGAAAATGGCGCCGCTGATCGGCGCGCTCACGGAGCGGGCGATGAAGCTCCTGATGGCGGCGTGGGTTGCGGCCGAGTTCCCGCCGCTCTCGGTCCTCTCAGCGTATCAGGAGCACACGCTCGACACGGCTGCGCGGCGGGCCAAGGCGGCGGCTGCGCGGCGGGCCGAGGCGGCGGGCGAGGAGGGCGAGGAGGGCGAGGAGGCGGCGCAGGCCAGCGAGGAGGACGAGGAGCCGACCGCGTCGCAGCTCTCTGCGGCGGGGGCTGACTACAGCGTCCTCAACTACGCGGACATCAACAATGGCACAGGCGTGCAGGGGGTGGACCGGGCGCCGCGCTCTCGGAGGAGGTCCAGCCAGTCCTTATTTTGTATTTTACACCTAGTCCTCCGGCTGATCTGGGGTGCCGGCAGGAGCTAAGAAACCACGGCGTGGGGTGGGTGAGGGGTGTGAAAAGGCTTAGAAACGGCGGCGTGCCAGATCTTGTTTTCTCAAAATGGACAATGCCCGCAACAGAAGACTCTGTAGTGTGTAGAGCGGCAAGCAGCAAGACCAAGAGCGCGCCGTCGCGTACCGCTCCGCCATCGCCCAGGCGATGCCGCGCTTCATCGAGCTCGCGCAAGCGTGCGGCGCGGGGTCCGCCGTGCCTCGCACGGCGCACATGGAATACGTCGGGGCGGTCCGTCGCATCGCTCAGCTCGAGGCGCTGCGAAAGAGGGAGCAGCGGAAGCGGCGGCACACCTCCTTACCTCGGCCGCCTCGACCTCTCGGATGCCGAAGTTGACGCGGTCAACAGCGTGAGGCTCGGCTGAGGGGCGGCTCCTCTCCCGCACCCGCTGTACGTACGAGTGGGCGGCTGGGGGGGGGGCGAGATGCCTCTCGGCGCGATCCGCAAGGAGGCGGCCGAGGAGGCTGGCGTGCCGCCGCGGCTGGCAGGCGCGATCCAGCCGGCGGGCGGAGTTTGCTACACCGGGTTTGACGAGACGGGGTGGGCCCTCAAGCGCGATGTGCTATACACCTTCGACCTGCGCTGCGGTGACGACTTCGTGCCGCGCGCTGTCGACGGGGAGGTCGAGGAATTTTCGCTCACGCCCATGGATGAGGTGGCGCGGCTGGTCGAGCGGCAGGCGGGCGAGAGGCTGTTCAAGCCGAACGTGGCCGTCGTCATCGCTGACTTTCTGCTGCGGCGCGGCTTCGTGTCACCCGACGACGACGGCTACCTCGAGCTGCTCGCGGAGCTGCGGAACGCCGAGCTGCTGCACCAGCAGCAGCATCATCACCAGCAGCAGCAGCAACAGAGAGAGGCAGTGCAGGCGCAGAAGCGCTCGCAGAGCGGCGCGCAGCGCCGCGCACGCCACGCTGCGGACCGTCGGACGAGCGCAGCGTACGTCGGCGGCGAGCCGCGTCGCCAGCCGTCTCGCGAGAGAGCGGCGCCGCCGCGTGCGCGCAGCAGCCGCCGCGGCAGAGGCGAGCCGCGGCGACGTCCGCACAACGGATAACTTCCATGGCGGTTAAAGGCCAAGGTAGGCCGCCTATTGAAATCGCCCGAAGCGCTAGCGCTTCGCTAGCGCAAGCTCGCACGGCCTCTCACGCTCCGCTGCTGCCCTCTTGGCGGCTCTCCGCCCGCCAGCTCGACCAACTCGACCGCCGAGAGGCTGGGATTGGCCGGCGGCGCGACGCGTGGCCTCTGCTGCGGCCATCTCGGACGCTCAAGCGGCGCCAGCCAGCGGCTCGGCCGCGCATCCTTCACACACGCCGCCACGACCAAGCTGAGCGGGCCCGGTGTCGAGTCATGGTGCGAGATGCATGTCAGGGGCGGCTGTGGCCACAGCAGGTCCACCAGACGGGCGTCAAAGCTTGCCGTCGGCGTGCTGTCGTGGCGAGAGCCGAGACCGCTGCAGAGGAGCCGAGTGCAGTGGCGAGCCAGAGGCTACCAGGGTCACCAGGTGGTAGCCCTTGCCCATTCTGAGCAGGGATGTGCTTTGATGGGGTTGTGCTTGAGCGTGTGTGAAGTGGGAGTGCGTGCCGGCGGTGTCTGTGGCTGAAACGGGCGTGTGTGAGGCTGCAGAGCCGTGGTATGAGCCAGAGTGAGCTTCATCACCCAAGATAAGTGCGGTTTGGGACGGCTCAGACTTGCTGCTGATGGGCCTGGGCCAGGAGAGCGACAGAGAAGGCGAGGTGGTGAGCTGGGAAGCCGCTTTGTCGGCACCTGGACGTGTCGCGATGAAGTGCCAAAAAGTACTATTTGCGGCTATTGCTCCAAACTTCGGGAGACAAGGCCTACATATTATGACTGCATCCATGAGCCTAGTGCATGAGGGCTGCGGGTCGGGACATTTCACGGTCGGTGGCGCCGACAATGACCTCCGTAATGCCCTCGCAATCGGCTCGGATGGGGTCCACCGGGGACAATCTCGGAGCCCTCTCCGTGGCATCACGAGCCGGTGTGAGCTTGAAGACCCGAGGTAAGTGCGGTTTAGGACAGCTCAGACCTGATACTGATGGGCCTGGGCCAGGAGAGCGACAGAGAAGGCGAGGTGGTGAGCTGAGAGCAGGAAATAGCGCTTC